TCAAAGCCCTGGTGGTGCAGTGGTTAAGTGCTTGGCTGCTAACCAAATGGCTGGTGGTTCAAAACCACTCAGCAGCTCTACAGGAGAAAAGACTTGGCAATTTGCTTCCATAAAGATTACAACCTAGAAAACCCTACAGGGCAGTTCTACTGTCCATGGGTTGCCATGAATCAGAAATCAACTTGATGACACCCAACAACATGAGTTTTTGCATAGCCTGCCACATGAATATATTCTTACTCCAGTTTAATCTATTTTAATGTTGTCACTGAAACACAGATCAGCAATGCCAATTTTTAATAGTGTTCATAATACTCGATTTAAAAAGATAAAGAGAATTCCTTTTTAAATTGATATATAAAGCAAAAACTAAAATATGGTTAATCTTTTGCTATGCTACATAAATGACTGGAATACCAGCTCTGCCACCTATAAGCTGTGACCCCTGGGTAAATCATTGAACCCCTTTGGTCTCAGTTTCTTCCTCTATACATTGGGAATCATAACAATGGCTATTAAAGTAATATGTTATCAGGATCAAAAGATATATCTAGTAGCACAGTGAGAGCCTAGTCCTTAGCAGGTACTCAATAAATTAATTCCCTGTTCCTATCCCTTCATTAATTTTACAAAAGCATACAGCATGTTTACGACTCCATTATGAAGCATCTCAATAATTAAAAACTAAAGCCAGTTATCAACATAAAGGAACACAATGACAGTCATTTCTCCAGTCTCCTGGAGTCTGTGTCACAATTTTTTTCCCTCCAATTATAGTATTTTGCTAATCTACAAAGTTCAGAAATTCTCTATGGGACCACCCAGCCATAGTGGGAATCAATGAGACTCCACTTAATTGAAAAACTGGATTTAATAAGGAAACAATAGTTATTGTGCCTTCAAAGAGACCATTTTCTATGCTAATTTATTCTCCAATGTGTTCTTTGTGTAAAAAGAATGTTTAAGCATGCTTTTTTATACCCTTACAGTAATTCTTTGTGGGCATATTTTTCAACATGTTTTATGATTCCCTAAATTGATGTATCTTTACGTATTTATGCATGTTCAAACGGTTATTATGTGTGTATCTGTAGAAGAGAAAAATCCCATTTTACCAAATTCCATGGAGAAATAAAGTATTCTCATTGTACAGAAATTTTTTTATAACAGAGGCATTAAATACCAGTTTTCAGACAGTGAAAAATTAGTGTTCAAACCAATCATTCTTGTGCGCTGGCTCCCCCCACTTCGCTCCAAATCTGCTTGTGGCCGGCCATGTGTGCCCATAGACAGACTTGTAGAGATCCAGAATATAAAGTGACAAGTCAGAAAAGCCAGACCTTGACCCTCTGAATCAGGCTCACAATATGACACTCTGTCAGCTGATGTTTGACCTTACTGTAGACCTGGGTTCTTGATCCCTTGTCTGCCCTGAACTTTGATTCCTACTTGCTCTTTATGTCTTCTTTTAAGATCATTCAGTGCTTTTCTCACCCCCAGGAACTAATTCCAATGCTAGTGATGGTCACCCCACTTTCTAGTCTTCTAATAAACGTGCATCCCAGAGTGCCTACTTTTTCTCATTTGTTCACTCTCTGTGGGTTTTATTGCCCCTTTTTTCACTTCATTCACAGGTCTTTGTGGCATCTACCTCCTTTCTTTCTCTCTTTCCTAGTTCTCTTTCTCCCCCTCTCTTTCTATCCTTCTGGTCCATCCTCCATTTCATTTCTAATATTACTCTCTCCTAGCTTAAGGCCTCTTAGGTCTTAAGGTTTATAAAGCCCTCTAACAAGTAGCATGGAAACGAAAATATTGTGCAAAAGCAAATCAAGTGAGTGAAGCATTATTTGGTGACACTCATGGCAACCAAGATAGAAAGAGGAAGGAGGTATCTTGCTGATATATGGACACCTTGTTGATATGTGTGTATTTCTCAGTGGAGAATCCAGTTGAGAAGTATGAGGGGAGGTAAGGGGTACTTTCTTCTATGTAACTCTGTCCTGCTTTAATTAGATTGGTTCTTCCCTGAGAAAATCCTCAGTGTCTGCTTCTACCATAGAAAATGTTTTAACAGTATGGCCTGAAGGAGACTGGGCCTGAGTTTAATCTTTGGATGATCATGGAACCCTCTAATCACAAAAGCTGCCATCAAGTAACTATCTTATCTTAACTTGTAGTTGAACAGTTGGAAATGAAAGATTTGTTGAATATTTTAAATATATTTTCATTTGTAGGATATGATTAGAAGCTTGTCCAAATTGAGGATGTAATAATAATCCAATGGAGGATCATTTAAGTCCTTTAAAATTTGAGTTTCTATGATAACATCAGTTTTACCACGTAAAATGCTTAACATCAAATACACACACAAATATTGTTTTCTTGTTATATGCACACTAATATCTAGAAAACTCTGAATAATAAAGCTTTATACTTATCACCTACCCATCGCACTCTCTCCCCAAACCCTAACCAAATGTCTGAGTCTTCTTTCTCCTAATTTCAATAAAAGTTGAAAAGAAACAGAGTTCATTTTGGAAATAAGTTCTTAAGGTTCTACTCTGAGTCAAGTACCAAGGTCTAAAGATACAGAAATGAGTAATTCAGGGTTCCAGCAGACAATGAGCTCAGACTTTATGCAATAAAACATATAATGGGCTCATATTTCAGTAAATTCAATAATAAAGATATGTTTAGAAAGATATTATTGAAGTATATAATCAGAAGAGGATTCTATGTAGCTGATTTACAGTTCAGAGAGGAAAAAAGTGAAATCTATCAAAAACCAGAAGAGATAGAATGGGGAAAAAACATAAAAAATGAATTTTACCAAACATACTACTATAGCATATCAATGCATTATAAGTGTCTCCAATTAACAAGGATGGCTGGTCTCTTTTACTTTAAGAGGCCATGTGAGAGATTCTGAGAATAATCTAGTCCAGAAAAGATGAGGGAAGGAAGTAAAGCAACGGCAGTGGGAGAGGTGGGTAGACGTTAAGGAAACAAATTTGGTAAGATTTGTTGACTGATTGAAGATATGGATATGAGAGAGAGAGAGAAAGAGGTCAGGAATGACTTTAGAGATTCTAGCTAGCTACAGTGGTTTTGTGTGAGGCTTTAGGGAAATAAATGAAACATTTTTTTTAACAGAGTTTAAAATGCTGATGTGTTTGAAACCTCCATGTAGACATATCATGGATTGGTGGATTCACAAATTTGAGCTAGAGAAATATTTAGGCACAAATAAAAGGTGGTCCTTGAAGACAAGGTGAGTCTATTGAACTCTCTGAACACAGATTAGGAAGATGAGAGCACAGAAAATTGTAATTGTGACTTCTTGTTGAGAAATCCATTATCATAAAATAAACTTATAATTGAATATACAGAATTTAGTATACCTCAATAAAGTATCCATTACCATTTTATTTATTATAGAGGAATTTAACATCTATATTTGTTTCTACAGAAAATATGATCTATAAAATATATAACAGAAGAAGAAAAAATAAGCCTTGAGCTGTCCATTTTTAAAACAGCATATAATCTACTAAAAGTGACATTATATTCTAGACAGAAACACAAATCAGTTTGAATAGATACAACAGAAGATTTAGAAATAAACTCTATTAATATTAACTATTTTGAATTATCAAATCAAGTAAGATCTAATCTAGAATTGGCATAGAATACATTGAAGAAAAGGGGATGTTACTTATAAAAGAGTTGACTTGTTAATCAAAAAGCAGATGAACATAGTTTTCTCATTCATTCTCCATTGCCTCATTCATCATCCATAACATAAGTGACTCACTTCCTTCAGTTTCTGAGCTCTTACATCATTCTTTCTAATCATCTCCTTCTGTTATCTTCATTTTGGCACACAGATGTATCTCAATCACTTATGCATTGGCTAATACTTGTGTCAGTAACATTTTGAAAAGATATTATATATAACCAATAAAACACATGCTCTAAGGAGTGAGATTTGAGATTTTCTTGGATCTCTACTCATGCTACTTTCTAAAATAATAGGTAAAAATGTCTACTAAAAAGTATTGCACAATTCAGGTGATCACTTAATTTCAGCTGTACTTTTTCCCACCCACTATTACCAACCACTCTCCCCTTACAAGAAGTCTTCTATAGTTATCCAGATTCTACACTGACTCCAATTTTCTGAGTATATGAGAATGTTTGCTTAAACATATTTTTGCATTCTATACATCTAAATATGTCCAAATGGTAGTAATACTCTTAGTTCCTCAAAAGCAATAAGAAATAATGCTTAATTAAGGAGCTCTGGTGGAGCTGTGGTTAAGGCATTTGGCTGCTAACCAAAAGGTCAGCAGTTTGAACCACCAGCTTCTCTGCAGGAGAAAGATGAGTCAGTCTGCTTCTATAGAGATTTACAGACTTGGAAAACATATGGGGGTCATTATGAGTCAGAATTGACTCAACGGCAGTGGGTTTAGTTTTGGTTTTTTAATGTAATTATTGAGTACTTAACGTCGGCTAGAAAGTTCTCAGTACTTTTATTTATTATTTCACTTATCATCCCAGTAACTCTGTAAGGAATTTACTATTAACTGTTTCATAGGGGAGGAAACTGAAGAATGGGTCAATCCTTTAGTTAGTGTCAATGTTGGGAAAGAAACAGGCAGTCTAACTCCAGAACCCATACTTTAACCATTACATTTAAAATCAGTCAGTGTTTTCTTGAATTTTATTAAACAAGCAAATTTTGTGAGGTGTTTAATAAAAACATGGTTAAATAATCCCACAGTTAAAAAACATTGGAAACATTGCATACATGGAAATTTTTTGAGCACTTTAGAAAAATGAATTTTTCAGTCGTCCTATTGCAAAGAAATTTTGCTTAATCCATTGCTCCTTAAATTTTGACTCTTGAAACTTGCTTTCACGTAGTTTCTAATAACGTCTGCCACAATTAATATCTTGACAAGACTTGGGGAAAGTATTCAAAGATTGTCTCTTACCTGAGGCACTGACAGGTTTGGAGGTTCATGGCTATCCCACAGGACAAATTCAAAAGAATCTTCAAAGATCTCACCACCAAAATGACGGTAGTAAATGATTCCATTAAACAGATCCCTCTGAAGGAAGCCAGGAACAGGATAGCCTGATGCGTTCGTAAAACACCATATAGTTTTGTAAGATTCTACCAGGTGTTGGGGTAAAATGGTATTGAACTTAGCTCCAAAAGTCTTCCCTATCTAATATGTTGTATATACCCAGGTGATCTTCATTAAATGCTTTTATCAAACTCATAAATATTAAAGCAGAAAAATGTAAATGGTTACACTTGTCTTAATGTGTATAAATATTGAATTTGAAATAAAAAATTTTAAGAAACATCTTATTTTAAATATGCAACATTAACTACTTGGTTCTTATTTTACCAAACTCTTGAACTATCTACTTTAAAAAATAGTTATGAAATGGTTGTAATAACATGTAAAGAAATGTTGGTCATGAAATTATTTTATCAAGAATCTAGAATAGACCAAACATTCTCCTTCAGACATATTTGCCTTATCACTTCTCTTGGCTGACTTAACTCTTCATAGTTATGCTTTCCTTGAAGCCCAGCTCTGGTACTTTCTAGATGTATAACCTAGGGCAGATCAAATTAACCTGTCCCAGTCTCAGGCTCTCTACCAATAAAATGGGAATAATAATAGTATCTTACTGATGTCTACTTAGCACAAATTCTAACACAGTTTTAGCAAACCTGTAAGTGTGCATAGACAATTCTCTATAAAAGAAATAATTCCATTTTATTATCTCCTAACTGCCTGGAACTTACCTATCAGTTCTGGTCCTGGCTTCTTCATGATCTCTCCAGCCTGTGGGGGTTTTGTGATATTAAAGAAGATGTAGTCATCACTAGAGTCCATGTCTGAAGCTCTCAGCATGGAACCCTGGATCAGTATAGTCTGCCCCTCTTCCAGTTCAATCACAACATTGGTTATGAGGAATGGGGGACTATCATCTTTGGGTAAGATGTTGATGGGAAACTTATGGCGGATACTGTGGTGGCTATCAGATATCCTGAAGACCACAAAGTCTTTGGTAGAATCACTGTCATCATGATGATAGCGAACAACCCCAGCCTGTAGATCAGCAACAGTGAATAGAAATCCTTTCCCTCCTAGTAGAGAGAGAGCAGAGATGGAGTTGCTTGAATGAGAGAACACAGAGGCAACAGGTATATAAAAGTATCATTGCAACAGAGAGCATTAAGGAAAATAGTCCCCATATTCCTCTCACTTGGGAAACAGCTTGTCGAGGACTCTGGGACCCCACAGAACTGGTTTAGAACTGATTCTAACACTAATTAGTTGTTCAAACTTGGATAGGGCATTTATCCATAGTGATACTGCCTCAGAAACCCAAGAGGGGGTCGCTAGGAGTTGGATCCGACTCACTGGCAGTGGCAGGGGGGCACAATGTATAAAATAGAGATGTTGTTGTTCTTATCTACCATCAAGTCAGCCCAAACTCATGGATGACCCGTGCATGTTGTTGTTCTTGTTATGTGCCTTCGAGTCGGCCCCGACTCATAGCGACCCCTCCTTGGGTTTCCGAGGCAGTATCACTACGGAAGTAGGATTGCCCAATCTTCCTTCAGAGGAGTGGCTGGTGGGTTTGAACCGCCAGCCGTCTGGTTAGCAGGCAAGTGCCTTAGGCACTATGCTACCAGAGCTCCGTGCATAGCAGACTAAAATGCTACCTGGGCCTATGTCATCTCCATGGTGAGTTACAGATTCATAGGGTTGTCATTGGTTGGTTTTTGGAAGTAGATCTCCAGCCCTTTCTTCCTAGTGTGTCTTAGTCTGGAAGCTCCACTAAAATCTGTTCATCATCATAGCAACACACAAGCCTCCACTGGCAGGTGGGTGAAGAGCAGCTTGTGCATGAGACACAATGGCAGCATTTAAGAAACAAAACAAAACAAAACTTAACTTACTACCATTGAATCATTCTGACTCATAGAGACCCCCATTAGGTTTCCAAAGCTATAAATCTTTATGGAAGTAGAATGCCCCATCTTCCTTCCATGGAACAGCTGGCGGTTTTGAACCACTGACCTTCTGGTTAGCAGCCAAATGCCTTAATCACTGTGCCACCAGAGCATCTTGCAATGACAACATAAAAGGAGAGAATTATACCAAAAAAAAAATCACCATTGGTCTCCAGGGCAAGTCGATTCTGACTCATAGGAACTCTATAGTGCAGAGTAGAACTGCCCCCATAGGGTTTCTAAGGCTGCATATCTTTATAGGAATAGACTGCCAGCCACAACTTTCTCCCTAGAAGCTGCTAGGTGGGTTCAAACCACTGACCTTTAGATTAGTAGCCAAGCATTTAACCACTGCACTGTTGGGGCTCCTAACTAGGTAACACCAGGCCAAAAAACAAACCTACTGCTGTTGAGTCAACTCCAACTCATAGTGACCCTACAGGACAAAGTAAAACTGCCCCACCAGGTTTCCGAGGCTATAATCTTCACAGGGGCAGATCAACAGATTTTCTTCTCCAAGGAACCAATGGTGGGTTCAAATTGCAAACCTTAACCTACTGACATGGAAACTCTAGCGGAGCTCAGCAATCTGTTCCATCAAGCCCACTAAGTGCTGTAGAGTAGGCTCTGACTCACAGTGACCCTATGTATAAGAGAATGAAATGCTGCCCCATCCTGTGCCATCCTCAAAATCTCTGCACTTCTTCCAGGACAGATTTGTCTATTCTTCTGATGGTCCATGGTATTTTCAGTATTCTTCCCCAACACCACAATTCAAAGGCATCAATTCTTCTTCAGTCTTCCTTATTCATTGTCCAGTTTTCACATGAGGCACTTGAAAATACCTTGGCTTAGGTTAGGGGCACCTTAGTCTTCAAAGTGACATCTTTGCTCTTTAACATTTTAACGAGGTCTTTTGCAGAAGATTTGCCCAGTGCAATACAATGTCTGATTTCTTGACTGCAGTTTCCAAGGGTGTTGATTGTGGATCCAAGTGAAATGAAATCCTTGACAACTTCGATATTTTCTCCATTTATCACAATATTGTTTATTGATACAGTTGTGACGATTTTTTTTGTTTAATGTTGAGGTGTCATCCATACTGAAAACTGGAGTCTTTGATCTTCATCAGTTAGTGCTTCAAGTCATCTTCACTTTCAGCTAGAAAGGTTGTGTCATCTGCATATCACAGGTTGTTAATGAGTCTTCCTCAAATCCTGATGCTTCTGGTATATGCAAAAGTTTGACGATTACTGGTTTAAAGGCTAAAAACTAGAGCTCTGATATCAATCAGCCTAGGTTCAAATCCTAGCTCTGCCACTTCCTAGATGCATGACCTTAAATAAGTCTGCTTAACTTTTCTAAGTCTCTGATTCTTCACTTGTAAAATAGGAATAATAATTATATCTCATCTATAAAGCTGATGTAACATAAAGGAGATAAATTGTGTAGAATACTTCACATTGTATCTGGCACAAAGTAATTATTTAATAAGTGTTATAACTATTTTCTACCTCCTCTGAGCCCACAACATCATTGCATTATGGGCTACCACTCCCCATTTCATTTCTACAGTATCAATAAACATTTCTTCACTTTTTGCACAAACTATTACAATGGCTGTATTAGAAACCTCAGAACATAAATGACTAAACTCTAGTACAATGGGAAATATTATAGTTGCCCAAAAGCTACTTTCTATTTCTTCCTCACTAACAACATCTCAGCTTTGCTTGAAATGGCAATATGACAATCTTAAAATACTACGCTTCTCAGACTCCCTTGCCCCTTAGAGGAAGCCATATGACACAGTCTGGTAAGGAGACCTAAGTCATGGCTTGAGTATTTCACTATCCCTTGTCTTTCTTCCTGCCTTGAATGCAGATGCCCAGAGGTATAAGCACCATCTCATGACTAGTGGCAGAGCAGGAAAGAATTTTCAGGCAAGGGGCATCACGAGTATAGAATGCCTACATCTGGGCAACTTGTCACAGGAGTAAAACAACTCTTCAGTTTTTAAGCCACTACAATTGGGTTTCTCCTACATGTAGCTAAACACCAGCCCTACTTGGTCCCTTCAGTCTTAAACTGACCTCCATCTATTCTGAGCCTAGGAAAGAGGATCTGTCATGAATTCATCATATTATTTTTCATTTCAGAATTCCCTAACCACAAATGATGATAAATAGGAGCTGTCTTTCTGCTTTACAATTAGGCCAAGCAAGAGGATAATTGAATTAAATCCTCTGAATTCTTTACAAAGGGTACACTATATTATCATAAATGCCCACAATTAATTTATTAGGTCTATTACATTATAAAAGGAGCACTGGTGGTACAGTGATTAAGTGCTCACCTGCTAACTGAAAGGTCAGTGGTTGGAACCCACCACCCTCTCTGTGGCAGAGAGATGTGACAGTCTGCTCCTAAAAAGATTTACAGCCCTTGAAACCCTATGGGGCAGATCTATTCTGTCCTATAGAGTGGCTGTGAGTTGGAATTTACTTGACAGCAGTGGGTTTGGATTTTTTGGTTTTTATTACCTTGTTATCCACCATCTCTATAATCACAATTATAAATTCATTTCTTTAAAATTATGGTAACTACCACTAATAACATAATTATTACTAAAATACTAAAAAACAGAAAAGTTGTTTTTTCTTTTTTTAATACATTTCTTTGAAGCAGAGAAATGAGAGAGATATATTTTGTCATATAACTAGGAAAAGATTATCAGTTAAAGGGAAGATTTAGAAGCTGCCCATCATGGCATCCAGAAAGCAAAACTGAGATTCAAATAATAAGCCAAGCACAAGTTATGGGACACAAGAAATTCTAAGTATATCCAATTAAATGCAATTTGCTTTTGGAGAAAATATTTCTTGGCTTGTTTATTCCACATTACAAAGTTTGATCATCTACCTCTTAGTGTAAGACGTCCATGCAGCAGCCCGTCAACAGTGACTAGACGGACAGCACGAATGTCATCATTGTCTACAATTTGAAACTGTTCCCAAGTGATGGCCCGAGACTGCCCCTCCAGGAGACTCAGACCTATAAGAGAAAATAGAATTGTGTTTGGAAAATTCTATGATATGCCAACAGGCTTATTTTAAGAAAGGATTAATTTGAATTTTTTCTCATGAAACTATCTAAAAATAGTACCTTCAAAAGATTTTCAAGAAACTGAAATTTAATTTTTATTTTTAGCAATATTAACTCCAATCTGAAAATCCCTTTCAAGATTCCCTGCAACCTTTTGGCTCCCAGGTCTACTGGGTAATGGCAAAGGCTGAATGAGCTACAGCTCTCTAACCTGAGTGTTCAGTCCTGAGTCTGTATTCTTCTTGCCCTGTCAGTATACTGATGTATTGTACCATTATTCCTCTAAAGGACCCAGCATGCTAAAGGAAATGTGTGGAGAGGGCAAGTCCTAACTAGGTTCTTCACCTGCCTCCCAAGCCTTGATAACTTGCCGTTTTTCTAGCTGGAACTTCCCTGTGAGGGAAGTCCTCAGAATTTTAAAGCCTACTCTGCTACTATTGCTTCATCTTGTAACATGGCAGGTTACCTCTACTGATCACAATGATGAGGGTCATGTTTTGGCTTGACCTCTCTTGTGCCTGTGGCAGATACTACCCCATCAGACCTACATTGTTTGTGCAGAGACTGCTAAAAGGGGCCAGGTTACACAACCTGGAAGTATGGAGAGCTGACATTCAGTGGGGCAAACTTCGACAATGAGAAACAGGAAATGGGAAGAATCTGCAAAGAGAGTGTTTGCCTATTTCCTCCCCACCCCCCAAGCCCGTGGTTGTAGCTTCCCCTCCTTGTGAAGCTGTGACCTTCTCAGTCATACCATGTTTTTGTTTGCTCCCTCTTTGACTTCCTTTTTCCCCTCATTCTTGCTTTCAGTATAGGATTACTACATACTGTTTGCCTCAGCTTTGTTTCCTAGGGATTCTGAGCTAAGACAGATAGTTTATTAAAATAAAATAAAGCAAGTAAGGAAGTAAAGAAGAACCAAGTATGCTAGCACATATAAAGAAACACTAAGACTAGTAATGAGGGTTTTAAAACCAAGACTACAAGACAAGGTGTCATGCAAAGGATGCATGCAGAAAGGAGGAACCAGAAAGACCAGATATATGTAGAGCAAACTATTAACAGTGGGGAGTAATGAAGGATTTTAATTTTCTTTTGATTATTTTCAAATATTCAACAATAGGCATATATTAAGTTCATAATAAGGAAGAATGCACTATTAAAAGGATTTTGATGTCCACAATAGTCAAAAACAGATTAGGAGTCCTCTGCAGAGTGCTATCTGCATAACAGGCCACACATACACATGTACACTATTCAGTCACTATGCATCTGCTGAAAACGTAATGGTTGCCAAACTTTAAGCTATCAGGTCCGACTTTTCTTTCATCATCCCTCTAACAGAGTTAGAGTGCGACAGAGAGCCAGAATTACAAATCAAGGCTACTCAACAGATGTTCCCCATCTCTACTGAAACATATAACACATACAGAGATACAAACACACACAAAGCAACCCATTTAAACTGCAATCTGAGCAATTAAACCATACACTGAGACATTTTCCCCAGAACAGAACCTACCACCACTGCTAACAAGCATGCTTTGTATGCTACTCATGGCACTGATAAGAAAGAAAAAATTTCATTTATATTCCACATTGACATTGCAGTATGAGTCCACTAGGATTGAGAGGCAGGGCAAAGCCTTTCTTTAAAAATAAATAAATAAGAAAGAAAGGAGGTTAAACTCTTATAAATGATCGTTGCCATGCAACCCAACTTAAAAATAGGGCAATGACCCACGATATAATAATTGAGTTCTATTCACTGGAGCAACAAAGGAAGGAGACCCAGGAATTGGAGAACAAAATAGACTGTAGGTCTAACTGCCTCCATGAATTACTACCAACTTTGTCATGAATAAATGGATGGTGCCCGACCCAACTACCACTACTGAATGTTATACTCAAGGTTCAAAGTTCCAATAGATGATCTTGATCAAAAGAAGGGAAAAAATGTGGCAGAGAACTTTAAATTCTTATTAGAAACCAGACTTACTGGATACATTGAGACTGGAGGAATCCCTGAATCTATTGCCTGGAAATAATTTTTAAGCCTTGAACCAAAACTATCCTATAAAGTCATTTTTAAACTAAACAACAATTTAGCTCATTTTAAAAAATGCTCACCTTGAGCAATACATTCTTTTTAAAGAATTATCTATATGAGATCAAATGGATAACAGGAATTCTAAAACACAGGTGAGAAATTTAAGGGGCACACACACAACAATCTTACATCCTTGGAAAACCACATAATCTGTCTGGGTTTCAGTTGCCTTGTGTGTGAAACACAAATAAAACCCCCTTTCTTCCCTGACCTATGTAATTTCTTGTGTTTCCTTCAGTGTATGTTCTATGATGCCTTGTTGAGAGTGATCTGCTTGATGCCCCATAGTGAGCTTCACCTGTGTTCCAGGATACTCGTGGGGCATTTGTATCTGCTGTTCTGATGGAGATGTAGACTGTAATTGGTGCACTCCTTTCAAAGAAGAAGTCATTTACCTCCAACTCCACCTACAAACAAACAGATGTACATAACTCACCAACTGCGAAGTTGCAGTTAAGGTACCATTAACTCTGTGCTGTACACCACAGATGGAAGGCAAAACTGATACAAGTTTCTTCTGCTGTCTGATCTCACTTTTGACAGCCTGATCTCTAGTTCTGGTCCCGAAGTTTATTAGTATTTCTTAAAATTTTCCTTTCCATAATAGAATTTATTAACCAGGAAGAAATGTCCCTACACTTGCCCAGGAGACTGTCCTGGTCCAGCACGAGACCACTCAAGCCTCTCTCAATGGTATATAGTCTAGAGCAGTGGTTCTCAGCTGGGAAGACCTTAACCAGCTATTGTTCTTCCTTCATATTAAAAAACAAAATAAGAAGGGAGTTTTGTCCCCCTAGAGAACATTTGGCAAAGTCTATAGATATTTTTGATCTCAGAATCGGAGAGAAGTGCTCCTGGCATCTAGTGGGTAGAAGCCATGGATGCTGCTGACATACTCCCATGCACAGGATAGCATACAAAGCAGAAATTATCTGCACTAAAATGTCATTACTGTAACACTGTTAAGAAGCTCTGATCCAAAGAATTTCTCCTTATAGATATGTTTTCAAATATCTAGATTTAATTTATTCCTATAAAATCTGTAATTAATGGTAGGGGCTATATGATAAGTTCTGAGCACTAACTACATGTTACATATTACATCAGGTGTTGACAGAGAAGGATCAGGTATAACAATAATGCAAGGCACAGTGACTACTTTTGAATAATGTATGGTCCAGTTGAGAGAATAAGAGAATAATTAGAAAATCAGACACGTATCAGCAAATACTAAATAATCAAAAAATCAGATTCATTGGTGCCAAAGTTTCAGACTAGAAATGAAACTATACCCAGGCAAAAGATGTCCTTTTAGAGATCTGATGTAACTATGTATTAGGGGAACCATATGTAATCGTATATTTTTACTCACTAAGGACCTATATTCTCAAATATCTTTTTAAAAAAGTCATGCCTATTAAAATGTGTTGGAATTTTCCAAAGAGTTGGAAATACCTTGAAGAATACATTATTTGGGGACACATACCCAGGGAAGGCTCAGCTTCAGAACCGCTAGCCATTACGCTCCTCCCAGAAGTCCCACCCATTGGGCATGAATGAACAAACCTCTATACAGACCCAGGACTTCCAGCACACCTAATCTGGAAAACCCATAATCTCCCCTGAGAAACTGGGAGTTAGCTGCTAACAAAAAAATCATGGCATTTGCACAGGTTCTGATTTCAGATTATAATTACACAGTGGCAGAAAATACCTGCAGGAAGCAGCCAGAACAGTGGTGCTTTATTTGTGATTTATTCTATTGTTTATTGAGAAAAATCTGGGCACACAATAAGAATTTACTTCATAGCAGTGAAGGCACAACAGGCCGGGGTGAGAAAGAAAGAACTGATGCTACTTATTACTATGAAGTGAATAAAAGAAAGGCAAAGGGCAAAAGCACAGCATTTACAGTCTGAAGTCTTCTGTATGCCCTTGGGGCTAAAAGTTCCTATATCACAACAGGCCAATTTGGTAATCCCAAGGACATTCAGTTTCCATAACAAATCTGAACTCCAGTCTGTATCAATCTGCTTATTTAAATTTTCCATCATGTTTGAATCAACTTGCTGGTAGATCTTCAAGTATGTGAAAGGTTATTATGTGGAAGACCTTAACCAGCTATTGTTCTTCCTTCACATTAAAAAACAAAATAAGAAGGGAGGTGGCTGAAACTCCAGTAAAATTGCTTTACGTTAGCTAGAAAGAGCAACTTCCCAGTGGAGAAAGTTTGATAGTGACATTGGTTATGAAATGAGACTAAGGAATCATCTGTTCTCAGTCAGTGTTATAATGAAAATTAAGCACCCCAGGTAATTAAAAAGAACGAAAGAATAAAAATAATAATAATAAATGTAAAAGAATGAAAGAATTTATTAATAAAATAATTATAGGCAAAACTCATCTCTAACTTCAACAGCCTTACAATACAGGAAGGCATCAGAGTTCTCAACCAGGGGAGCCCTGGGCTAAATGTTGTCCCAGAAGTATTTTGCAGATGGCACAATATTTTAAAGTTTTTAAATATTTTCTGTATTTTAAATTTTTATTATTTTATTATGCTAACTATAAGGTGTGTAACAAAACACTTGCTACTCCAACATCCTTTACATGTACAATTTAGTGACATTATTATGTTTATCATGTTTAACCATCACCATTAGCTGTTTTCAAATTTTTCCATCACCCTTAAGCAATGAAATCCCTTCTCCTCCTCCTTCCTACTCATCCCTGGCAAGCACAATAAACTTTAATTTCTATACATTTGCCTATTCTAGACAGTTCATAAGTGGGATCGTGTTTTTTTCATATTTTAAAATTGGAATATTTTACATAAAAATCCAGATTTCCAACTTTACTTGTTTAAAGGAGAAGTTCATAAAGCCTTTGACCAGAACTAAATGTTTGTATTAAACTCAGTTTTGTCGAATTGAACTGATCTCTTTATATGACTTGTCCAGACGCCATGCTTGCCTAGCTGACCTTTCACAGGCACATGGTAATTAAGAAGGTGTTTTCTCTTGGTGGTCAAGTATGAAATATACTCTAAGGAAGGGAATCTTGACATAGCAATCTTTTTTATACAACGTGGAACTAAAAAATATTTCTGTACTACAAGAGAATTATTTTGAAACAATTTTGGAGGCAGCCTTATCTACAGTTTCCCAGGTAACCAAGACGGTTAATTTCTAAAGAGAATAATTTCTAAAGAGACTTAGTGTTAATTCTTATTACAGCTCTGATCCAAAGAATGTTTTAAATCAACCTAGATATCTTTATAACCTGTCTGGAAAATATACATTGTAAACATCCTGTGACTGTAATTATAAATCTTTGTATCTGCCTAAGCATTTCCCTGCATCTTTAACCCTCCCCATTGTGACCTCAGTCAACAACTAACCAATGATTTTAGTGTAATCTCTCTGTTTCCTGCCCTATATTCGTCCCCTCTCAGGACCTACTCTCTGAAATTGCCATGTTTTCCCTTATGTGAGCTGGTTGTTTCCCATTCAAATGTCTCCCTAATGCTGAATAAATCCTCCGAATTTTCTTTTAAGGTCTGAGTGGATTTTCCCCTATGACACTTGAAAAATGAGAGCCAAAGTCACACTGGGTGCTTCTGTATTCTCACATGGCAGCAATCAGCCTTGGCTGAGTTGCAGCTGCTCTCTGAGGCACTGGCTCTTTCTCTAGTTCACCACTGTACCCTGCCATCCATGTTAGCTCATTGACGTTACTTGCCTGGCTTCTCTGGGCATTTGAGTTTGCATCATGATTTACAATGATTGATTCCTTTCTGGTACAAAAAAATGAGCAAATTATTCCAAAGGTTAACTGAGTGCCCCTTAAATCCCTCTGTGAATACCAACTAGGCTAGAAGCATTGCCTCTCTTCCCTCTTCCCACCTCGTAATTTCTCCTCTCAGAATGGCTGCTGTTTGGTGGCTGGTAGGCAATCTGCAGGTCACTTAGATCTTTCCAGGTGAAGGAGGAAATGGGTCTGGTGTGATCCAACAGGTGAGTTACATAGCCTTGGAGCGGGGGCTTAGTGATGTTGAACACCAGCAAGGGTTTGGGGGTTTCGTCATCTTCACAGTCCAGAACTGATGTGGTCAGAGAGGTCAGGATGAACTGATCCACTTCCAAAATAAACATGGCCATGAAAGCAGCCCTTGGAACCTGATTCGGAACACCAGCTCTGATGTGGACAGGCAACCACGCACTCTCTGACTTTGGAAAGAGAAAGAGAATGAATGAATAAATGAATGAATGAAGGATGAATAATTAAAACACATAAATAAATAAATAGGGAAGCAATGTGAATGAAGCTATAATAAACAGGATTAACAGCATGATATTGAGCATAAAGCCATAGCCTCAAGGGGTATATCCAGCAATAATTTGAAACCTAGTTGCACACTACAATCACCTGGGAGCCTTTAAAACATACTGGTGCCCAATCTCCATCTCCAGAGATCTTAATTTAATGTTCCAAGGAGGGGCCCAGAAAACTGATGTTTTTAAAATACTCCAGGTGACTTTAATATGTAGCCAGGTGAAGAATGAGCACAAATATTGACAACTGAGGTACTGGTGCTTGTTATTCTACCTCCAGTACTTATGACTTGCATGAGGTTAGTTACTTAACTTCTGAGTCTTGTTTATTTTTTCCCCATCTGTAAAATAGGAATATTTGAATTCAAAGTATTAAGTGAGAATTAAAGAAAATAGCCTATTTAAAGCACTTACCAGTGTCTGGTCCACAGCAGATACTCCATACATGTTAGTTCCACAAGTACAAAAATCACTTGTTATCCAACCTCCCATTATTATTCAAAGATAACAGCATAACCAAAAATTGACCTGTCTGAAATGGCTAGGAGATAATTCTGCTAAGTAGAAAATTACAAAAAACATGACAGAAGCCTGCCGTGTTTCTTAAAACATAGCATACCTGTGGGCCTGAAGGATGGTAGAGAGATACTTTGGTTCATTACCATTACTGGCATAGCTTGGAAATCCAGTGTCTTAACTAACTAGAAAAGTGAGCAATTGTTCTTGCGCTGAATGAGTACCAAGTTACAAAGGCATTATCCCCTCATCCTGCCTGCCCCCTTTAAAACCACATCATGACAGGTAGTGAGTGAGATGGGCTCAGGGAGACTGGTGGAAGTGCACTGCATCATGGGATCTGAAGTCTTAACAAGTGCAATGGGCAGAAGAGTCCTCGTAGCAGTTGCTGTTGTTGTTGTTAAGTGCTGTCCAGTTGGTACTAACCCATAGGTGACCCTGTGTACAAAGGACAAAATACTGCCCAGTTCTGAGCCATCCTCATAATCACTGCTATGTTTGAGCCAATTATTGCAGCCACATATCAATCCAATTGCAGCAGTAGATGCTGACTATCATAGGATTTCATGTATCGTATTGTTGAGAGAACAGCCTCAGTTATCAGAGTCACATTTGTTTAATACATCTGAACACTAGATATTGGCATGTTGTGGTTGTTGTTCTGTGCCACAGAGTTGATTCAACTCATAGTGACCCCTCTTTGGGTTTTCGAGGCAGTATCACTATGGAAGTAGATCGCCCAATCTTCCTTCCAAGGAATGGCTGGTGGATTTGAACCACCAACCTCCTGGTTAGCACTCAAGTGCCTTAGGCAATCTGTATATTGTTGTTGTTGTTAGCTGCTTTCAAGCCAACTCAGACTCACAGCAACCTTACGTACAACAGAGCAAAACATTGCCTGGTACTGCATCATCCTCAAAATTACCAGCAGGTTTGAGTCCATCATTTCAGTAACAGGATATTTGAAAATGGAGCTCTTCCTCCCTCAGTCTCAACTGAAAAAAGAAAAACCAGTTGCCATTGGGTGGATTACAATTTATGGAGACACATGGGTGTCAGAGTAGAATTGTGCTCCGCAGGCTATTCAGTGGCTGTCTTTTTGGAAGTAGATTGTCCAGCCTTTCTTCCAAGGCACCTCTGGTGGACTCAAACCTTCAACCCTTTGATTAGCAGTCAAGTATACTAACTATTTGCACCACCCAGTGACTCCAGTCTCAATAAAGTTCTAATAAAATAGAGACCAGATTTCAAAGTTCATGTGAGACACATACTTTATGCAGAATTTAAAAAGCAGATTGCGTAGCCTCCAGAACCCCTTCATTCACTACGAGAATATAAAACCATGGAGAGAGGTGAGAAAGAGATTTATTTGGACAGAGAGTGTGTTGTTTTGTGGTGTGAGTGGCTGGAATCTCACACACATCCTTGAAGGAGAAAGGGTGGAGTGCTGCACATCCTCTGTCTCAAGTATCAGGAGGGAAGCTTCCTTGAGACCAGCCTTAAAATGAGTTTTTTATCCATGTCTCAGACCATACATGATAACAAATTCAAAAGGGATTATGGACCTAAGTGTGCAAATTAAAACCATAAAAATCTTAGAAGAATATGTAGGGCCAATCCTGTCAGGCCTCACTTTTAACAATGGATTGTCTAATGAAAATAAAAAATGACAAACAGCAAAATACAAAATAAATAAGTTGGACCTCATAAACATTTAAAACGTTTGTTTATCAAAAGACTTTACCAAACACTAAAAGATAAGCTACAGACTGGGAGAACACCTTCAAAAATCATATATCCAATAAGAATCTAACCAAAATACATACAAAATTTTGACAACTTAACAACAAAAAACAAAAACCCAATCATAAAATGGGCCAAGAACTTGAATAAACATTTCACCTAAGAGAATATCCAAATGGCCACTAGACACATGAAATTCAGCATCATTAGCCATCAGAGAGATGCAAGTCAAAATCACAATATGCCATTTCACTTCCACTAGGAAATCTGGCTTAGACATAAAATGTTGTTGTTGTTGTTATGTGCCATCAAGTTGGACCTGACTCATAGTGACCCCTCCTTAAGTTACCAAGGCAATATCACTACAGAAGTAGATTGCTCAATCTTCCTTCCGAGGAGTGGCTGGTGGGTTTGAACCACCAGCATTCTGGTTAGCAATCAAGTGCCTTAGGCACTATGCTACCAGACCTCCCAAGACATACATAAAATAAATAAACAAAACCAGAAAATAACAAATGTTGGCAACGATGTGGGGAAACAGGAACACTTACATATTTGTGGTGGGAATACAAAATGGTATAGCCATTGTGGAAAATAGTGTGGCAGTGCCTCAAAGAACTAAAAATACAGTTGCTACATACCCCAGCAATCTACTTCTAGGTATATACCCTAAAAGACTTAAAGCATATTCATTGTAGCATTATACACAACAGGCAAAAGATGGAAACAACCTAAATGCTCATCAACAGATGAATAGACATACATACAGTGGGGTGCTACTCAGCCAGTAGAAGAAGAAAAAAAAGAACAAAATATTGTGTGACCTCACTTATATAAAAAAGACAAGAAAAAGCAAATGTACAGAGACCAAAGTTTATTAGTGGATTAGTGGTTACCAGAGATAGGACGCAAAGGAAAAGGGAAAATTGTGACAGAAAAAATCACATTGATTAGGGTAGCATTAACACAACAAGCAACCAATTATTGCAATTGCTGTCAATAACAAGTTGAGTTGGTAAAAGTTGTGTGATATATTTACCACAATGACCAAAAGGCTGAGGCTGCTTGTGTTGTTGTTGTTATGTGCCATCGAGTCGGACCTGACTCATAGCGACCCCTCCTTGGGTTTCCAAGGCAGTATCATTACGGAAGTAGATTGCCCCATCTTCCTTCCGAGGAGTGGCTGGTGGGTTTGAACCACCAGTCTTCTGGTTAGCAGTCAAGTGCCTTAGCCACTACACTACCAGAGCTCCTACTGAGGCTGCTTATGCACAACCAAATACCTCATAGGATATGGTTCCTTGGTTTGGAGGTTTAGGGTTATGGTTTCTTGGCACAACACAATTAGTTGGCTTAATAACTTATTTAGTGCTTCTGTTCAACCTCCTACTTCATTGCATAGTGCCTGGGGTTTTATAAGCTTGCAAATGGCCATCCATGGTGTGATAGGTCTCTACTCATCTGGAGGAACAGAGGAAAAAGAGGAATAGGAGGCAGAATATGCTATAGAGGTTAATTGCCTTCATGAACTATTGCCTCCTTTGCCAGGAGAGCAGAAGAACTGGATGGTGCTCAGATACCATTACTGAGCATTTTGACTAAAGACTACATAGAAGAATACTGAACAAAAGGGGGATGATACAAAACAGAATTTCAATCATCACAGAATCTAGACTGCCTGGAGGCATGGAGGCTGGATGAATCCCTGAAATTATTAACCTGAGATAATCTCTAAACCTTAAACAAAAATATCACTTGAAGTATTCTTAAAACCAAACAATAGTTTAGCTTAACTAGTAAAAAAAGGTCTGCTTTGAGTATTATGTTCTTTTAAGGACTATCTGTATGGGGTAATATTAACAATGGCAACTCAAAAGACTAGATAGTAACCTTAGGGGACAGTGAGTTTATGTTAATAAGGAAAAAACAACTCAGAAAAGGAGGGTGAGAATGGTTGTATAACTACAATAATGTAATCAATGTCACTGTAGAAACTGTTGAATTGGTGTATGTTTTGTTGTGTATATTCTCAACACTAATGAAAAAGTATACATAATTTAGGGAAAAAAGAAGACATGTTCTTTGCAAGTGGAGCACACAAAGAGCTGGTGCTGGGCTGATACATGAGGAAGCTAACTTCCTTGAGGCAGAAGAACAAAAGTGGCTGTGCGGGGGTTAACCTGTAGTACTTGTTTGTAGGGCAGAGGGCAAGTTTGGATTCTGACCTTCAGAGTGCACTTTCAGAGTCAAAGGACCCCAGCAACAAGAAGCTAGAGGTAGTAATCATATCCTAGCAGCTGCAGGAGGAATTGCAAGTGACTAATCAGTCTAGAAGGAGCTCTGGTGGTACAGTGTTAAGGCATTTGGCTGCTATCCAAAAGGTCAATGGTTCAAATCCACTGGCAGCTGCAATATGCTTCTATAAAGATTTACAGCCAAGGAAACCTAATGGAGATCACTCTGATTTAGAACTGACACAATGACAGTGAGTTTGGTTTGTTTGTTTGTTTTTGCAATCAGGCTAGAAATCCATCCTCCCAAGACTAGAAAGGAGACAGTGTTGTTTCAGCAGTAGAATTTTCACCTTCCATGTGGGAGACCTGGGTTAGATTCACACCCAATGCACTTCACGCACA